CGTCGCCGGGATGTTCTGAGGCATAACATCTCTGATCACGCCTTCCTTCGGATGGGAAGTAAAGCCGTTGGTCCCCGGTTCATGAGTTGATGGGTCGATAGGTAGGGTCCAGGTGTGGGAGCTGCCTTCCTGGCACGTCGGTAGCATTGGTGCTCAGCACGGAAAACAAGATCGACGGAAAAAAACAAACCAAAGGAAAAAAGTCAGAGGCACATCTTTTACCTAACCCGTACGATGAATGATATGCGACGCCATTTTGAAATCCAAAATATCGGCTTCCACTTTTCAAAAGTGGGAAATACTATCAAATACCCGTGACCCGTGACCCGTGACCCGTGACAAGTCGAATGAGCTCCGAATTGAAGTGAAAGTGGAAAAACTAAGGAAGCAGTTTTCAAGTCATTGATTGCGTTAATTGAAAAAAGTCTTTGCTTCAAATTAAATGAACTGATGTACTTGACGAACGAATCAAGCGATAGTTAAGTCATGTTTGACAGAAGGAATATTCATCGTGACTTGATAACAAGAAACACAATGACTTATAGTACGTCCAGACTACAGAGTTATAACATCTTATAGCGCTATCTTGATGGTGGTTTCTGTGTTGCAATTATGTTATAACATGTTATAACTCTCCAGTCTGGACAGCGTTTTACACGAAAATGATATTGCTCGAAATGAAGCGATTCTGCCGAGAGTTTTCTTTTCTTTTTTGAAAATGCAGAACCTTGATAACCAATGCTACCGACGCCAAGGGGGCAGCTCCTACACCTGTACCCTGTACCCTACCTATGGACCGGAGTACAACAGCTTTACTTTCCTACCGAAGGAAGGTGTGATCAAATATTTTATGCCTCAGCAAATCCCGACGGCTTCCCCAAAAGTTTCTAAGTATTTTTCGTGGAAATTCTTTGGATGCTTTCCGACTTTTCTCACAAGTTTTTTTCAAACCTCCTCCACAAGCGTTTTTTTTTTCTCTGGAAGTTTCTTCGGCAACTAATCCAAACGTTTCCCAGAATTTTCTTTCGACTTTCCTGGAAAAGCCATTCAGAGTCAAAAAGCTTTAATTTTTGCCTTCAAAATCGGTGACAATATAAAATAAAATAAAATAGTAAATATTGATAAACATTGATTTTTTAAAACCATTTATACCGATAAGAGGTGAAACTCTAAGGAAGCCTTAGCGTGAAACTTTAAAGGCACAAATGTCAGCTTCCACAAAACATACAAATTTGAAATTGCTACTCTCTGCTTGTAGTAGCATAGCAAACAAGGAAATATGACATGTCAAAACCATCATCAAATCACTAACAGTCAGCCTCAGAAGGTTTAATCAATGATGATCATCAAAAAGTGAGATTGTGATGGTGACAATAGCCATCAGCAACTTTAGATGCTTTTTCCAGCATAAACACAAGAAATACATCAAAAATATATATGTCAAAGCTTATTCCGATAAATTAGCTTTGTAAACTCACCCTTTATTCAAGCAGTATCTCATTTTTCGGTAGAAAATTGCGTTAGAAAAACGTCACATTTTATTTCAGGACAGCACTATGATACACAACAATTTGTTTCAATCAGTTTCACTTTATTGATCCCGAAGATTTCTTAAAAACTGCATATTAATCCGCGGTTTGTCGGTGTGCAACGAACGATTACAATTTATAACAAGACACACAGGCGCACAGCATGGAAGTTTGTGTTAAGCTATGCATCACATTTCGTATCCTAGCAGCAATCACTGGTCAATGTTGCCAAAATAGTTTCAAGAAAATATAAAATAAAATTCAGTAAACTGAATTCTAATATTGTTAGAAGCATCTTTTTGCACAGTGACTCAACTATATACCTCGCCTAGAAGTTTGTTATTTTTTATGGAACTATAAATTATAATAAAATTACCTGTCTTCTCTTTCGGATAAACCGGCAACATGATGGTCGACCATATGATTATGCTGATGTTTACAAAACACACTGTAGCTGTGCTTGGTTTTCAATTTGTGAAGATAACCTTACAGCAGTCGCGTCAAGAAAAGTTACTCGGGCTGTCGCCTCATGCACTAAGTACACGGCAAACAATTCTAGTTATAGTTCTTAAAAAGTTGTTTAGCTGCATAATATCCGTCTGGCAGTGGATAGTTTAATTCAGAATTGATTCGCTAGGTGGCGCCTGAATACAAGTAAAGTTCTTCCATTGATAGCTTAGAATCTAGATCAGATTGAAGTTTCTTGTCTTGAGCAAAGTTGTTCAAATGGACAAGACCCGTTCAATAGTGAACATTTTAGATGGGAAATTAATCACAAGGTGGCACCAGAGAACAAGTAAAGTTCTTGTAGTGATAAGACAAGGCAGAAATTTCCTCACCTATAAACCGACATGAGTTACCTTAGATGTTACCATGAAATTTTTGCTCAAAGCACACTTCTGACATCTGTCTTCATGTGCATGATAAACGTTTAGCTAAGCCGCAAACACGTGTACAAAATTTATAAGCTAATTCGTGTCTGATCTATTCTGGACAAATAATGTTTGAAAAATTGATTGAGATTGAAAAATTCTATCCAGCATTTTACGAGCGTTGATGGCTGTTTCTGGTAGTCGCTATGTCGTTTGACGTATAAACGATCAAATTTGGCCGTTTACAGGTCAAACGACACAAGCCAAACTTCAAATCATATGTTCCCTACCAGAAACTCAACCAAATTGTGGCGGCCATGAGCGCTCGTAAAATGCTGGATGGTTTTGAATTTCTGATCGCTGCACATTTCAATCGGCCGTTATAGATTTTCGAGCAGAAGTTAAATTTAAGTTTCATGTCGGTTTTTCAGTGGATTCCTGTCTTCAGCAAAGATGTTGAAATGGACGAGACCCAGTGAACAGTTTAGCTGGGAATTGACTCATAATATGGCGCGAGAGTACAAATAAAGTTCTTCTAGTGATAGCTCATGATCAATACCAGATAGAAGTTTCCTGTCTTCAGCAAAGTTCTTCAAATGGTTCAGAACCGTTCAGTAGTGAACATTTTAGTTGGGAATTGACTCACTAGGTGGTGCCAGAGATCAAATAAAGAAAACGAATGGACGAGACCCGTTCTGCAGAGAACAGTTCGACAGTGAGCATGCAGATTTAACGTTTCTCGGTGTGTTTGCTATTGCTTTTGATAGCCAATACAACCTGTTACTACTCTGCATTGAACAAATTCTAGAAAATTGTTTCGCTTAGTTGAAGAAATGCAAAGAGAAAATCGATGAAGAGAATCGATCATCGCGTATTCGCCCTTATACATGCTTACTGTCGAGTTTAATTGGGAATTGGGTTCATTAAGGGTATTGAGGAAAATGCATATTCGTAATCTGCATTAAAAATGGAGCCCAAACCCAAAATTTCATCAATTTTGGTACACTGGAACTATTTCAAACAAGTACAATTACATTTGCAAAAATCACCTTATTAGCGCCCTTCGGTGTCACTTTGTATGGGAGCGAGCTGTCAGTTTGTTAGTTTAGTGTCAAACAGTGAAGTTATTATTTTGCTTTAAATCTTGATTTAAAAATCGAGATGAAAGTGTGTCGGTTCGAAAAAAATATCACTGTGCTCAGAAAACGATGATGTATAAAAAACGAAACATTTTTTTAAAAATTTAAGAACCCAATTGACTGGTTAGAGAGAGATATAGAGTTGTGTAGATTTTTTTATGGTAAATCTGGAGTGTTTTTATAAGATTGTTTATCAGGATAATACCATTAAGGCAGTTATTTAGGAGTTTAGTTGTGAATTGACTTGTTAGGTGACGTCAGAGTAATTATTTTATAGTGATAGCTCAAAATCATGAGCCGATAGAAGTTTTCTGTGGAATTCGAATGACCGATATCTGTTCAGTAGTGTTCAGTTTGGTTTTGAATTGACTCCTTAGTACAAAAATTGTTCAACTAGTGTTAATTTCAGATCGAGACCAGGCAGAAGATTCCTACATTTAGTAAAGTTGATAAAATGGGATAGATTCGTTTAATAGTAAACAGTATAGATCGACATTTTTTTTTGGCTCCCGTTTGAAAATTTATCATCATAATTTGTGGCTTGTTTGATCAAGCCAAATTAGTCTAATAGGTAAGACCGCACTTTAGGACAATTAGTTCTATGGATTTTGTATGGAGACCGTTCGTGCGTTTTGTATAGGCTTCTCCCCTAGATCAATCACGCGTCACACGCAAAAGCGAAGCTGGAATATACCAGCAAGTAAGTACCGGATTAATTATCGACAGGATTTCACCATAGAGACAAGTCCAGGAACTAATATCGATGAAACTACAGCTCAGTAATAAAATTTGCGACTAGAAAAGTATAACTTAGGTATCGTGGTCTGTGGAAAGCATTTGAATATCTTGGTCCTATGAACCACTGCAAGATAGATAGAATCTCAGATGAATCCACTTATTAGTGACTTGTTCCTTTCTCGAACAACTTGCATGGGGAAGATTGATAATTGAGGCGTAAATCACGAATCACATGCACACAGCCTCCAATGTTATGGTTTTACGAAAAATACGAATCGACTGATATTATGATCTGCATCTTCCATGATTCTTTCGGCCCAATTGAAACTTCTGCCTACTCTTAACCATACCGTAGTCAGACATTAACTTAAACATTTCCCAATTCTCCCCGGGACAGAGGTTATCAGTCCCGTGGAGAATTGAGAAATTTTTAACCGGGAATAATCAACGACCAAACCGCGCTTGCAACCCGTCATTCGACTATCATCAAACTACCAACCCTACGTAATGTGTGCGAATCAAAGGAATCCACTCACACAAATCCCCAACACTAAATTTTGTTTCAATCGCTAGCACCAGGAATGCGTAAAACCGCAACAAGTTTAACTGTATTTTTCACGATTATTTTGGTCTTCCCATGAACCGGTTTATATGTGTGCGAGGTAAATCCCAGCAAGATGCGATAAGAAGCTGCTGCTCTCTGTTAGTACTCAGACAGCTTCTATTGCAGCTAGTTCCTCCTAAAACTTTGCAAGATGATTGGAAACATTTCAAATTTCCTAAAACTAACCCTTTTACTGCTTGCGGTCTTCCAACTGCATTACATTTTTGCACAGTCGCCGAAATATCATATCGCACCATACCAGGTATGCTTGATTTTGATACTAAACGGATAGTATAATGTCTTCATCGCAAAATTCGCAGAGCAATTGGTTCGAGGCATCGGAATACTGCCACCGGATGGGCATGCGATTGGCCATCGCCGATTCGGAGGAAAAGCACAACGACGTCGTACGGGAGGCCAAGGCGGCGGATCTTCACGAGGCCGCCGGATCTTTCGGCGTTTGGCTAGGTGCCACCGATCTGGCTCGAACGAAAGTTTTCATCTGGCACAACACAGGAATTCGACTGCGCTACACCCACTGGGCAGCTGGCGAACCCACAGGAGGAAACGAACATTGCCTGGAACTGCACTATTGGATTGCACAGGGCTTCAACTGGACCTGGAATGACGCCCCGTGCCATGACATGCGGTACGCAATGTGCGAGAATGTTGATAAAGTGTCGTGTATCGAAGCGTTTTAAGGATTACGAAATGCCTCCAGTTACCGTTAAAAGAAAAATAAATTAAACATCGCTGCCAACATTTCATTAGGGCATTTAGGGTAAACAATTACTTCATCTGACGATTTTTCGCAACTAAAAGTTCACTCCTGCAAACTAACCATACCAGCTGGTAGAGTAAACATTTCTATTCTTGATGGTATAGTTTATTTGTATGTGCAAGGTAATTGTTTACAAACGAAGTTTCGCCCTTTTGAAATGTTGATGATGAACTCATCAACTTTGTTTGCGTAATTTGCTTATCAGACAGTCCAAAGATAATATGTGTGGTATGGATTACAGGTTTGCATTTTTGAAAATCCATTTTTTTAAATAATCAACAATTACAATTTTTTTTTTTTTTATTTATAAAGTTTAAAAAACAGTTTTTTGTTTATTTTTCCCAGTAAAACACTAATGTTCCCTACAACTTTGTCTGAGACGTCATTTCGATCAGAAATACGGTTTACGTGTTACAATTTTTTGAAAAATTTCAATGATATTTCAAATTTCAAAATGGAAGAACTTTAGCAAAAATTTGAATTATTGCCCAGAACAATAAATTAGGCAAAGTTTCGATTCAAAGGTCAATTCAAAAATTTTGGTATTTTGCCTGGAACTGCTCTTGTTATAAAATTCATAGTTTTTCATCTTTACTCAATTTGTTTCGCTTCATGGTTAGAGCATATAGAGGAAATGGCTCTAATGTTGGTCTATGGATCTAAAGATTGGGCCTATTGATAAAAATATCCTGTCCATGCAATCTAGTGCCAATCACCGACGGACATCGATTGCCATCCATTGACGGTAAGGGTTGATGCATATATTATGTCACGCTCTAAGGGGCGAGGGGGGGTCTAAGATTTTGTGACAAGCAATGCATTATGTATAGAAAAAACGTCACGATAGAGGGGAGGTGGTAATTTTTTGCTCGTTTTAGCGTGACATAATTAATGCATGGACCCATCGAATGTGCAGAAAGGCAACTTCCACACCTACGTAGGATATTGCACCCATTCAACACACATGGGCTGGGACAAACGGCTTTACTTCCAAAGGAAGACGTTACCAGAGATTTTAAAGCCCCATTGAACTCAGGATAGAACCTAGACCCATTGGGATGAGAAAGCAGTTACGCTTACCAATACACCACCGGCGCCGGCATCAATTCCTCTAAGAACAACAATACAAATGGATATTTTTGGATGCTAGTGAAAAATTGTAAAAAAAATGCTTTACTTCGAATTTTATGTTTGGGCCCAAAATTAGGCACAATTAGGCCGACATTAGGTACACACTTATTTTTTTCGCCCAGATTCCAACAGCCGAGTATTTCTGCAATTTATTTTGCTGAGATTCAGTAAAACAATTGCCGAGCCTCAGCTAACAAATAACATTTTGCTGAGATATCAGCAAAAGTAAATGCCGAGGTAATCGGCTGTTGGAGATTTTACCGAGATAGATTAAGTGTGTACACTACCCTTATTTTGCATTTCAAGCTTAATGTTTATCGTATATTAGCTTATTGTGTGCTCTCAACTTAGTGTGTTCTAGATGCACTTTCACAGTTATCGATGTCTGTACCATTTTTGTATTAGTATAATTTTTGGCAAGTACAATCATACTTTATGCCCAGAGAAGTCTTGAAATTTTCCAATCCGAAAAATTCAGAGACTGGACCGGAAATCGAACCCCGCCACCTCTAGCATGGTCTTGCGTTGTAGCTGCGCCTTTACCGACGAAGCTAAGCTGGCTCACAAAATGAGGATTTTTTAAGATGAAGGATGGCTTCAGAAGTCAGGAGTTCCGAAGGGAAGAAAAAGCAAAGATCATGATGGTAGTGGAAGTTTGGTACATGGAATCAGTATTGTGTAAGGCTGCTAAGGAATGTGAAAAATAACATAAAAATATTATTGTTCTATCGGCGTGAAAGAATTCAAGCAAAAATAAAAAAAATGAAATTAAATAGCATTGATTTTCCACCAGAAAAGCTCTACACTACCACTCTTTCATCTGGTCATATCTCAAAAACTATTTGTCCAAATCATTTGCCCTTGGAAACACATCAATTAAAAGAGTTTTTCAAAGTTTGGTGAAAATTTGAGCTTAAAATATTAAGAAATAGAAAATTCCGCCCATAGCGAAAATATGCAATTTTTTGACAATTTTCCCGGTAATCAGCCTGTTTACTATAGCTACTGTAACAAAATCAAAATGTGAGTACACCTTTGTGCATCTACATTAAAAAAAACCTTCAAATTGACGTTTTAAGATCACGAATAGTTTATTGGGTTGTGAAGTAATCTCTTCTGAAAGATAATTTTTTTTAAATCTTTAAAATCCAGGGTTGTAGCCAGAGGGGATCTAGGCACTTCAGAGCAAAATTAAAAAAGGCGTTTGTTCAAAATGCCGAAATCGGTGAGTAATTCGTTCAATGTTTACCGCTGATTTAGACTTTGACAGGCTTGAAAATTTATTTAACTTTTTCAGAAAATAATGTGAGTGGAATCGAGGAGAACAAACCGACGGAAAAATTAAGAGTAGTTACCGGTCAGATGAAGACAGGTCCAGAGCTGCAACCATGCATCTAACCCACCACCAGGGCTGGAAAACACCTCAGAGCATTAGAAACGCAACTTTGTGCATGCATCTCACAACACTCGACAAAGAGTGTGTGGTTCTCCCATTTACTTCGCACACTCTTTTCCAACTAATCTATGAGAAAGCGATACACACAATGAGCGGTACACTCCGAGCGGTGCAGGGAGCGAATATAATACAACAAGCGTTAATGTCTTCTTTGAATTCTGTGCAGACTTTGCTTACCACGACTGCATGCATAGGAGATGAAGAAGAGCATAGAAGAAGAATTTTTTTTTTTTTTTTTTTGTTGGGTTTTTATATTTTCAACCCTACACTGAGTGGCGCTCTTTGCGTGGGAGCCGTCGGAGCGATGGCTACACATTGAGCTTTCGTTATTTCTGGGTGTGTGTCTGTCTTCTCTTCTCCGCTGCTTAACAATTGCGCAGGGTGAAAGACAAGCAAACTTTGTGTTTGCACTTTGTTTATTTCAGAAAATCAGTACATTGAGTGATCAGATGACAGCTCTGGGCCACCACCAAAGCCCAGTGAACCACTGAATTGAGCTGCCGATAAGGATAAGGTAAGTTGTTCAGTACGAACTAACTACTATGAAATTGAATCAGATTATCCTTTTCTTTTTTCATGATTCAAACTCCTTTCGGAATTGATCTACGCTCATCTGAAATCCACGATCAGGGCCAGCGAATCGCCTACGATGCCAGGTGGTTTCATGCTGTGACGCTAATTAAAAACGTCATTGAAAAGTCCCATTGGTCGTGCTTTGCAATGCGGCCGTGTGAGCATCAAAGTTCCTTTATTTACGTTGTAAAACTGATGATTGTACACTAGGGTGCTTCATTCTGAAAAAAGTGATGAATTTCTAATGGGCCACCCTCCAGTTCGATTCATAGCCCCAAAATATGAACCTGTGCAAAAATTGGTAAAGATTGATGAAGGTTTAGAGGTCGCGCCAATGATTTGAAATTTGTATGGGAATTACTATGGAAGAATTTAAAAAATCGCTTATATCGCTATAACTTTGCTTCTACTTGTCCAAATGTCGAAAAAATTTAGTATGTTATTGCTATGGCAATAAACAAAAAGCCTACAGTTGCTACGCTCAGTTTTGCAGCGTATCAAGAATTAAAAAAATGTGAAAAAATGGCAAAATAGGGTAAATTGACAGATGAATATGTACAAGGCAACAACGCCAATTTCATCGCAACAACAACAGGCTTGTTGATCATTGTCATGACAACCACATATTTTTTTTTTTCAACGTTTGGACAACTACAACCAAAGTTAGAGCAATGTAAACGAAAATCAATAATTTCCCATACTAATTCACCAAAATCTCCATACAAAATCCAAATCATTGGCGCGACCTCTAAACCTTCATCAATCTTTACCATTTTTTGCACAGGTTCATATTTTGGGGCTATGAATCGAACTGGAGGGTGGCCTATCAAAAATTCATCACTTTTTTCAAAATGAAACACCCTATTGTACACTTTATAGGGGAATTTACGTATTCTCGTCAATCTAAGCAGCGTCCGAACTACTATTAGCGATTTCTCAGCGTCACACACATACATGACAGGTTTGTTTGTTGACATTTATCTGCTGCTTGCTGTTCTACCAATTCCAATCGACAGAATTGATCAAAACGGGTTGAACATGTTTTTACAACGCTCCAAACTTCTCAGGTGAGAGTGACTATTGTCGGCAGTCTCTTTTTCTTCGGCACCCTTTCCGTTTGAACTGCGTGTTAACCAGCTGTTCTATTATCGGCAACTCGAAATCAGCCGTATTTTGTAGTATGTATATTTCATTTAAAGAAAAATATGGTATAACAGTCGTAAAAATGTAATCAGATTGATTATGAAAAGGTAAGGAATCGGCTTAATACATTCAGCGAAGAGTTTTGGTACAGCAATAATGCTATATTCAAAATGAATCCTCTTTATACAATGCATTTGTGTACTCACAGCTTATACATTTAAATGTATAACCACAGACAAACAGACATAACTCTCGCAAGTTGTTCATCAAACAAGCATTTAACGGTCAATTTAAAAGTATCGTAGTTGGTAGTACCGCCAACTCTGGAGCGCATAGTCAATTCCCTAGCGTTCAGCGTACTACCCACCCAGCCCAATGGCATGCGCGTAGGCAACATGTTATACCGTGACAGCGGGCCCAGCACACCAAAATAAATGATTTGAGCCCGGGACATGCTGTCTACTGTCAAACGCTGCTGTTGGTATCCAGCTTTCCATGCTCGGTAATGGCGGCCTGTTTGTATGAATAAATGTATCATTCACTGTGCTTTATGACACTAACTGGAAGGCGTATGTTGTTCCATTTTCTTCTGTTCCTGGTAGAGGGAAAGGGAGTGGTCAAAATCCGAACATCCAGATAGTGTCAAAAAGCATAGTGAAGGATACATTTATTCATACAAACAGGCCGCCGTTACCGAGCATCGAAAGCTGGATAGGCCTTGTCACTGACCTGGTCGGGAGAGTTGCGATTTAACGTATCTTTGAAGACAACATATCAAGAAGACTGCAAGTCTTCCAGTTTTCTCAAGCGACCGGCATTAGACAGGCACAATCGCGTCATCTGCCGCTCAAAGCTAAATGCTACGAACGAATTGGATAGCAAAGGCTGAAGAAAGGTTTGTGCATTTGCTCATT